CCACTCATAAGCGTAAGGATGAGACATTCTTCGATAGACGATCACGTACAATAATGGTAAAGTTATATATATATATAATCTAAAAATATATATATTTATGATTTAATATTATTATTATTTTAATGGCTTAGGAGCATGTGTAGTCAACATAAGAAATAGTCGTTAAAGAGCAACAAAAGAGTGATGTATCATCTCAAGATATCAAAATATCCAAAATATATTTGGATGTTGTCGAAAGGGAGAAGAAATAGAGAGTGTATGATATCGAAACTTATATATTCCAATGTTACTCACATTCCGACGCAAACTCCTCCCCTGCCACTTCATAGTATCCCGGTGGTAATATCAAAAAGGGTTTTGTCCAAGTGTGAAGATCGGATCAATAGGATGGAGTTATGAGGATGTTAGAGAACCTTTAGTCGCCTCTCATCCCTCTTACCGACCCTCCCACAACCCGGCGAGTTAGGCATTCTTCTCAAAAGCTAGCAATCGAAAGATGATGCAAGAGATGGTGATAATGAAGACTAAATTTCTTATTTTTTAAAAAGTTTTTAATATTTTTATACATCTTAGCACATTTTATATATTTATTTTAATTTAATTTATATAATTTTTTATTTTATTTAATAATATAATGTGTTTTAATTAGGTATTGTTTATATTTGTTTGTTGTTACAAGTATTAATAAATGGTAATTTATTTAAAAAAAAAATTGTAATGGATTTAGTAATGGAATAGAGAGAATAATTAATAATGAATACATATATGGTCGTTAAATAGTGACGGAACTAGCAACGAGATTACGAGGATATTAGCGACGACAATTCCATCACTATTTAGCAATGAACGTAAGTGGAAGTAGTGATGGTTAGCGACGAATATGAGATGTCATAGAAGATTGATTTAGATCAATTTAGCGATGAAAATTTAACGGAATAGTGATGGATATTCATCACTCGATTAGTGACGATAAAAATATTCGATCGCTAAAAAAATAGCAACCACCGTTTTAGCGTTGAATTACATGTTATCTTTAATCTGTTGCTAATTGTATATACCAATGGATTTTTGCCAAATAGAGACGAAAAAATCCATTAATCTATTGCTAATTTTTACGAGTGTATGTTTATAGTGTCAACAACTAAAGTTATAATAAAAAGATCTTATGGGTTTATACATCTAATAATATTCTATAATTTTTTCATGAGCTCGCCCTCGAGCTTTCATAAGCGATGCTACCCCTTTGAGTTTTCACTCGTTAACCAGCTAATAAGATTGTTATGCTACCTCGTGTAATGCCCTAAACTACGAATTATCTCTACATTAGTCTTCATAGTTTAACGAGTAAGATAAGAATTTACATAAGCAATGGTCTACCTTCGAATCTTATTGCATTCATGCTCCATGTGCACTCACCTGATTTTTTTACTGAACCAATAAATCTTTTTCGATTCATCCATGGAGTTGAAATTTTCATTCGAGACGAAAAGGTGGCTGGACCGCACATTAAAAGTTGAGTTGATTTCAATTTATTTCTTAAGATTTGAGGGAAATCTCATTTCTCCTTCAGATTTCAATTTTATCAACGTCCTCTCCACCTTTCCCAAAGTTTCAATCACAATCAATGTTTTCCTTCAAATTATCCAAATTAATGGATTTATTTTCAGTCCCTATAATGCACTTGTAAATTCAATGTGATTAAATTAATTTATCATAGAACGATCTTTATATATATATATATATATATATATATATATATATATATATATAAAGATTTCTTTTTATTAATTTTTGAAATAATTTATAATCGTTTCTTTATTTTTAATGAGTCCCACATTTTAAACTTTCTTTTCGTATATAATTTTTATTTCAAAAAATATTATCATATACTTTTTAAGAATTTTGTATTTATATTTTTAAATATGAATTATGTATGTAGCATCATTTGAACCTTTTAATTGACTGCATTAGATTTGATCTCATCAAATTATTTTAAAAGAGTTCTATTTGATGATAAAGGGAGAGTATGCTTTTAAGATCATTTGGATAAAGAACTTAACCTTGGTTAAACGCATAAGTTGGCCTGAGGAAGTATATCCTTTGTCGTTGAATGAAAAACAAAAATACTGGTCTAATAAATTTCTTCAATTATTGTAGAACTTTCTTTTTTCATTTATTAAAACTCTAAAAATGCTTAAAATTAGATCAATAAAAATCAATAATTAAAATCCAAAAAATAATATATATCTATCAAATTCGCAAAGTAGATCCTTGATATATATACACACACGCTTTGTTATTATTTTACATTAATTATCTTTTGCTTCTTTAGATGAAAAGATGTATAAAATTTGTGTTATTGTTTTTTACCACCACTGATTTTTAACACCTAGGCATGTGTCATGTTGATTAAGATTTTTTTTTCCATGTCAGGTATAATAATAATTGACTTTTATTGTATTTTTGACAATTAAATGGAAAAAAAATTTACGATAATATTAATATAATTAATCATTATGATAGTCAAAAGTTTTAATTACTATTAATAAGTATTATAATTATTACTCATTTAATGACAAAAATTACCTCTAAATTATTGGGTTATATGATAATTTAAGGCCCATACATACTATTAATTTAGACTATTTAGATTCTAAATTATTATTTTTTAACAAACATTATTTTTTTTTATTTCTAATGGTCAAAACATTAATCTTTAATTGAAATATAGTTTTAACGATAAAAATGTACTTCCAGACTATTTAGCATGTAGCAAAATAAGATCTACACTATTAATTTGGACTATTTAGATCTTAAACTATTAGTTTTTGGATAAATTTTATTCTTCTCCATTATTTCGACAATCAAAGTATTGACCTTTTTTTAATAATTAAAATTAATTATATTTTTTTTAATAATAGTTAGCTTTAAGGAAGGTTATATGATTTTTTTTCTTTTTCTGGATTTGACTTTTGTTCTTGGATAATTAATGATGCCTAATGGATCTATCTAGTAAGAAAAACTGAATAATTATTATTTTTTAAAATATTTAATAATAATAAGTGGTAAGATAGCTTAGATGATTTTTTTATTTATGGATCTTACTTTTATTGTTAGATAATTAATGACGCCCAATGGAACCACCTAGTTAAAAACAATTTGTATTCTTAATTTTTGTTTCAAAATTAATTTTAATTCTTAAAAAAATCTAAAATGTTTAAAATGACGTCTTGTTAAGCATTTCATTTATCAATCAATGTTTTTAACTATAAAAAATACTAGAGGAAGATAAAATTTGCCAAAAATTTAATAATTTGGAGTTTAATAGCCCAAATTGATACTATAGATTTTATTTTGTGACAACTCTAATTGTTTTGGGGCTAAACTTTGTTATTAAATCATATTTTAGTTAACGAATCAATGTTTTGACCATTATAAATAATAAAAAAAGGATAACATTTACCCACAAAATTATAGTTTGAAATTCAAATAAGTCAAATTGATAGTATAAGTTTTAAATTACCATAACTCAATAGTTTAGAGTAATTTTTGCCATTAAACCAATCACTACCGACCATTGTATGGTCATTACCAGGAGTTGTGAGTTTATTAAAAAATTAATTATAGTTTAATAATTAATTTGTTATTCATTCTCTTCCTATATGAGTGTAAACATTCTTGAATATTTAGTAGTAGAAGAGAAATAAAATGACTATTAATAAGTATTATAATCGTTACTAGTCATTGTATGGTCGTTACTAGCCGTTAAAAGTTTATTAAAAATTAATTGTAATTTAATAATTAATTTTTTATTTATTCTCTCCCTATGTAATTATAAACATTTTTTAGCATTTGGTATAAGATGAGAAATAAAATGAATATTTTTTCTTAATAAATAGTGTTTTTTTTAAAAAAAAATTAAACACAATTTTCTTTAGCTATTAAATGGAACTAGTCGAGACTGAACATTTCTTTCAGCTGGAAGCTTCACCATTGTCCGAAGGCAAATTACAGTTGTAAGTTTTCTTATACTATATGCATATGGTTGCCTTCTCTCATTTGGTCACTGCTGTTACCTTTAGCAGATTTTGTGCAATTGGGATATTGATGGAGTTTTATTTCTCTCTCTGTATATAATTTTTTTTAATGTCATTTGGTACTTTTTCCATTAATTTATTTTGATCTAATTATAAATACTAAGTGGTAAATTAGAAAATATAGGCAGAGGTCTATCTCAAATCCTCAACTACGTAGCCACAATTTGGTTTCCTTTATAGTCTAGGGCTTGTGTACCTGTAGTTGTTGCCTCCCAACCTTTGTGATCTTTTTTCAACGATTTAACTTGAATCCACTTGTTTGCATTGATGAGTTGGGAAAATCTTGTTGAAATAAAGAGGCAGTTAGCAAGTTGGATCACAGCTTGCAAAATGCAAGCTGTGACCAGTATTGCACCGCCTGGAGGCTTATAAATTGGCCTCCCCACCTCATTTGTAAGTATCAAAAAATTATGAAGGAAAAACCCTAGTTCAATCCCTAAATTCTCTATCAAAGAGAGATTAGTTCCTAAAGAATATAGAGAGTTTTTTTCTTATTTCAAGAGAGAGAGTTATTATTTTTTCTTTATAGCGTAAAGAGATGTTGTAACTTTTATTATTTCTCATAATAAAGTCTTTCTGTATTGTCTATAATTTTTTCTCTTATTTCGTTAAAGAGCTTTTCACATAAAATATGTATGTTCAATATCGTTGTTTGTCAAATTTATTAGCTGCGAATCCCGCTCTATTCGATCGGTAACACAGCAAGTCTTATATCCTTAATAATTTTCCTTCTCCTACAACTAAACCAAACGAGATCCTAGTTAACAGAGGTAAGTTTATTTGATCCCTTCGTAAAACTTGTTTATTAATTAAGAGAAAAACGAGTACACTTGGCTTTGCAAGAGTAAAAGGAGCCCTAAAGCAAGTTACTAGCACTAAAGTAATAGCCATGGTGGTGAGAATCTAGAGCTTTATATAGTCGTTCTCAATCATCCATTTGAGACTCCAGTGGTCGGATGCACACTTATAAGCCCAATATGCCCATCCAAATGTGGCACGCCCATAGACTTCCAGTTGAGCCTTACCAAAGTTCTGGTAGTCTTGCATTGCTGCTCCCTGAACTGCCCATTCTCCGGTCCATTCCCCTTCAAAATTTCATAACATTACAGTCAGCTCTAAACATTGTTTTTTCAACTAGTCTGATCAAGATCTTTGTTTATAGTTAAAAGGTAGTCTAGGCTCAGAAAAAAGCTTAAACCAGTCTTGATTGAGTAAACATTGGTTTAATTTTGGACTTACCTACAAAAGTAAGGGGACCATTAGCAGTGTTCACAGTACTGAGATCACTAGACCGCTGATTATAGATATAGTCGATGTTCTGCTGTGCATTCATGTTGCTGAATGAATCTGAAAATAGGTTGTAATAATGAACATCAATGGCTACACAATTGAGACCGCTTGCAAATGAGAGGAGCTCCTTTGCATCAGCAGGCCCTAGTCGATTTGAGAGGATCACATAAGCATTTTCAGAGTGCTTCCTTACGGCATCATATCCAGCTCGATAATAAGCCATAAGGGTGTCTAGATTGACGCCTGGGGCATTAGGCTCATTCATTAATTCAATTGCCGCAAGACTTGGATTGTCGGCATATCTGCTTAGTAGCAATCACTATATCAGAATTCAAGTAATTTTTCATATATATGGAACCTCAATACGAAAAATATTGTTATAGAAAAATCCTATCGTCTTAAACCTTGCTGCAAGGAAATCTATGACAGCCACAGTATCCTCAATTTTGGAATCTCCCCATTCCAGATACCCATCTCGAGTCGCACTATGATCATTGCCATTTTGTGAACCTTGAACTGCATGCAAATCAACAATTATCTTCATTCCGTATTTCCTGCATGGATATAATATATATATAAATATTCATCATAGTTGTTTATTTGTAGCACCTGTTCAGTAAAAAAGTTCCCAAAACGATGTCAAACTGTTAATTAATTCCAACAAGTAAATGCAACTCACTGTGCCCATGTGAAAGCATTGTCTAAGGCGTTCAAAGAGCCACCAACAAAAGGTTTCGGTGGCGTGGGATCGCTGGCGATCCACCACCCAACTGGAATTCTGACGGCATTAAGACCATTTGCTGACATGAAACTGAAGTCATCATCGGTGATGTAAGAGTTCCAATGATCCTAGGATGTACAAATTTGCAAGTTATGCAGGTTTTAATTATACCTCTAGTTGATAAAATGCTAGCACAGACTTCTGTTCTCTTGTTTATGTTATGAATTACAACTTTTACCTGCATGACCTCAGGGGCTTTGTCTGGACCGTAACCATTTGTGAGTTGATATTCACCTCGTAAGGTTTTGACAATAGTCATTTTAAAGACTGATGGATCGCTATCGTCCCAACCTGAGCCTACATAATCTGCAGTTACCTCTGTTTCTGACATTGCCTGAATACACAACAGGGGCAAAGTAACCCTTCATGTAATGTGGATGATTTATTAAACTGATGGTTAGCTATGCCTCAGATATGACAATGATCCGAAGCGATGATCATAGTCATGATCATTATTCACAAAGATGTACGGCACTGTTCTTTAACTGGTAAGGACCTAGTAGTTCGCTAAAACATACTCCCAGTCCATGGTATAATTTTCCTACATCAGATCTATTTGAGGACACCAAAGGAGAAATATACCATCAACCTAAAACAGATTAATTCAGTGAAAATTCCGGAGCCCCAAAAGAAAACAAAGTTTAACATAGATGAAAATAAAAGGTTAAGCAATACCTGAAGGAATTGTCCATTTGATGCTTGGAGGCGAACTCGATTCTGATCATCATTATTTCTAATAATCTGGAATATTGTTTGTGGGTTTCCAGCATTATCCGCAACTGCTGTTATTTTGTTTCCTTGATCCTCCACCCCCACAAACTGCTTGTTGAACACTCGAAAATTGAAATATGTCTCATTGATCCTCCACAACTGTGTAATAAACCCAACAGAAAGGTAAAGGTGAGAAACATGCAACATGAGATTATAAGTACAATCAATGCTTACGAATAAAGCACCAGAAAAGTAAAGGTAAATAGTGCTAGATATTATCCAGGCCAAAGAAAAGGTAAATAGTGGTACTAATTAATGAACCAATCAAGTCTAGCTAGATCACCATTAGCTTAAAGATCTTACTCTGAATGTTTCCCAGCCAGAGGCTGAGGTCCGATTGGCTACAAGAACGGTTCCACCTCCATTTTCTGAGCAAAGATACTTCTGTAGCTTTGTGGACAAAAACTGAACTTGAGTTCCATCCTACAGAAAATTTGAACGACAAAATAGTTGAACAACGATAAGAGATTCATGTATAAGAAATTTCCAACTTCAACACTACTAGTAAATACTACTACTAAATATTTTCCTTCAGCTATTGCTCTCCTATGGTTACAAGAAAAATAATATCTAGCAGCCAAAAAAAAAAAGAAGTTGCTTGGGCTTTCACGTACTAAAGGAGTGAGGGTTTGGAAAGAGAGATTAAATTTAATGTTTTGGTGGGTGGTTCACACATTTGCTATGAGTGATATATGTTGATGTTCTGGATCACAGAGTAAAACTAAAATTACCAGGAGATCATTGTTGGGAATCCCATCGTAGAGAGAAGGTTTCATCCATCCTTCAGTAACAAGCCAATTTCCTAAATTCACAGCTTTAAATGGCTGCGCAAGAGAAAGAGATGGAGCACACAAAAAGAAGAGGAAAGCAGAGACTAGGAAATAGTAAGCCATTATTCGCACATAATGATAGGATGTAAGGTAAGAATATATAGAAGAAAGCAGTGGCGTGGTAGTAACTCGTAATCATGGCCCATTCATCTAAATGTTCTACGAAGTCTTTGGTTAAGGGACCACATATCGAAAGTGAGGAGCATCGGGACCTTGGGCCCTTGCCGTCTTCTTTTAAGCAAGGACAGTGTAAAAAAGAAGGGGAATTTCTACCAAAAGTCTTCGATAATCAAAAGGTATTCTTTCCAGAATGTCTTCTTTTTTTTTTTTTTTCCTTATGTGATTTATGGATTTTGCTAAATTGCATGGAGCTTATTTTATTTATGAACAAACCATATAATTTTCTGAAAATATTTTCTAAAGCATAACTTTTGTATTTTGTAGTTTGTCGATCGACCGAATGTTTTACAATCCTGGCCTAATTTTTCACTCTCCCAAACACACACAAACAAGTTTGAATGCTCCTATCCTATAATGCCCTCAAAAACACTGTAAGAAGACCCAAATCGTTAAGCAAGCTGTCAACCCACCTTCTGACTTAATTGCTTCGCATGTTTGATGCTTATATCAGGTTTTGTATATTTTGTCTGGCTCTTACCTTCTTCTGCGATACCAACAACCCCAGAAAAAGCTTTTCATATCTATGAGGCCCCGAAATTCTATTTCCAAAGGATAATCTACTTGGAAAAAATCCATTTTATCAGTTTCTATATGGTTTCATTGTGATGTTTTGGATCTCTCAGAAAGTTTATATCATTTGGAGTAACGTAAATGGATTTTCCACTAGTATGCAACAAAAAAAAAAAATTATTCTGGATGGACTAGAACCACCACAAAAAGATTAAATCATGAGATATGATCTGCGAAGACGAGAGAATTTTGTATTTGGGAGAGAGGACTTATCTCCTTTGTGCTGCATGGAAACGATTAGCACATTCAACCATTAAGAGGTGATAATACATGAGATGGAAACTGTTGTTTTTTATTTTTTTTTCCAGAAAAAAAACATGTCATTTATCTAAGTACATACTTAAGGAAAATGGAGGCTTCATCTGCTAGAGGAGAGTCGGACCCCATGATGTATTACCTCATTATCATTTAGGTTTCAAATTTTTTTATCAATTTTATCTTAAATATAATCGACATGAGACAATGTCATTCCTCAATTCATTTAGTGAAATGTTCCTTTTCATTTGCATTAATTGCTTCTATTCAAATAGTTAAAATAAACCTCAAAATATCTTAAACAATAATTTTAATGTTTGCTAAAAAATTATCTCACTTAAAATAAATCCTATATATATAGGATTAAGAATCAACTATCCACTACAAGACTTTTTTTTTTTTTTTTTTGACACCAACACTTCTCCAAAAAGTTTCATCCGGCCTCGCCAAAAAAACAAAAAAAAGTTATCAAACGAGAGTTTGATTGATGTAAAGTGATTAGCATTGCTCAATGGGAAAAGGAATGGGAAAAAAGAATGTTTTTTGAGTTAAAAGAGATCATGGAGTGTTGGATAATTGAGAAGAAGAAACAAGAGAAATTTTTGTATACAAATGTAATATCTTTGGACCTAGGACCTAGATAGATCAAGTATATTACTAGCATTTACTTACGTTTAGAGTGCAATAAATGCAAGTCAATAAACCTCCTCCCTTAACATTTTCACTTTATTAGCAAAATGGACAATTATCATATGAAATCCCTAATAAATATAAAATAATAAATCCATAATAGTTAAAAATTTGGTATAAACTTTTTTTAAAAATTCAACTAATATCAATTGATATTCCTACACTATGTATATAAATATTAAATACTCTATTTTGGTCAAAAATCCATATCCTTGGAATCCAAATTAATCATTTTAATAAAATATCTTACATTAAATTAAATTGAATCATATCACTTATTTTTCTTAAATTCAAATTAGAAATTCATATAAACTTTAATTTAGGAATATTTCATTTTCAAATATTCTACACAATAAGGTAAGATTATTTGATGTTGATTTTACTTCAAAAATAATTGAATTATCAAGTATTACATTTAATTAGAAAATAATCCATGAATAGAAACCATTAAATCAATGTTTAATACTATTATTTTTATAAAAATTCCATAGGCTAGGAAATTATTATAAAAATTCAATAAAGCATTTAATAAATTCATTTAGACCTTTAACTAATATTTTGGCCATTTAAAATACTTTTTGAACTTTAGGAACTTGGGTTCCTAATTTATTTAAAATCAACCCATTAAATACATTTATTCCTTAAACATTAATTTCCTTTCAAGAGTTAACCTTACTACTCCTTTTATCATGCCCTTTTTAATTCCTTACCTTACCTTTTTATTCTTCACTCGTTAATTACTAAATCAAGTAATCATCTAAATATTATTTACATTATACCTTTAATTCATTCATTTCCATAATCAATTACTTCATTTTAACCTTATTAATTAACCAAGTCATATAACTATCAATCCTTAACACAACATTAAACATGATATCCACACCATACCATTTATTGTGTATATACCAAAATTTGCTTAACTTATTATCAAATACACATCCAAAATGAAGTTAAGTAAAAGTAAAGTTCATCACCCATTAACATCCTAGGCACATAAGTAATGGCAAGTCTTCCAGCTTATCTCGACGACGGTCCTTAATTATCTTTTTTTTCTCCTACACCATAAGAAACAAAGGTGAGCAATGCCTAGTAAGTATAATCCATGCTATGCATGTAATGCCTTTTATGAATGTAATGCACGTGATGCAACTTTATAAAAACCTTTTTGTGCTTTTAAAATTCATTTTTCTCTTCGGATGCACCCTATCGATTGTATATATAATCGGCCCTCTATTAAAATATGCAATGTATGAAAAATCACAAAAAGCACTAGGTACCTTCCCATACCCTCAACAAGCTAAGGTGCCTATTTTTCTCAAGAGAGAGTGATCATTCCTAGTAAGAAACGAAGGTGAGCAATGCCTACTCTTCAAGTTATCTTGGCACACAAGGAAGGGCAAGTCTTCAAGTTATCTCAAGTGATGATCCTTAATTATCTTTTTTTTTCTCCTACACCATAAGAAATAGAGGTGAACAATGCCTAGTAAGTGTAATTCATGCTATGCATGTAATGCCTTTTATGAATGTAATGCACGTGATGCAACTTTTATAAAAACCTTTTCATGCTTTTGAAATTCATTTTCCTCTTCGGACGCATCCTACCGATTGTATATATAATCGACCCTCTCGTTAAAACATGCAATATATGAAAAATCACAAAAAGCATTAGGTACCTTCCGATAACCTCAACATGCTAAGCATGTCCATCTTCCTCAAAAGAGGATGATAATTCCTCTCCTTTAAACCAAGCCATTCCTTTTGAAAAACTTTCTTTTTCAAACCTCTTCCTTTCATCAAAATCATGAATGTACAATCTCTTTCATGATTATGATATGTAAATGCATTTAAATAAAATGCAATGCATTTAACATAAACCTCAACATGCATACTTTCAAATCCTTAAGAACATGTAACATAAATAATAAATCAAATACATGTTTCACTTCAATAAAATACATGTTTTACATCAATCAAGTATGCATGTCAAAACATGAATAAATAATAAAAATCAACAATACCATTAAAACACATCATGATCGAAATATTTAAGCAACATAACCATTTCATTTTTCACATGAGTGTGACCATTTTTCTTCCCGTTTTATACCTTTAATCCTCAAAATTAATATTAACCTCACATTACCCCTCTTTGCCTTTGTTTATCATTCTTGGTCGAAATTGGCCAATGGAAAGGCAACTTCCATTTCTTTCTTTCTTTTTTTTTTTTCTCAATTTTTCACCTTTAACCTCTTAAACTAACATGATCCTAATCATTTTAACATCAAGTAGTTTAAATTTATTAATCAACCTAAACTTCCTTTTTGGTTGAAATTTACCACAAAATGGCCAAGATTCAATTCTTCCAATTTAACTCCATAATGTTTTAGGTTATCCAACTACTTTGTTATAAGAACAAGGAAAACATCAAAATACATGAATTAATTCCAATTAATCATTCAAACATCACAATTCTCACATCAAAACACATATATATCATCAAAACCATCCAATTCAAGCAATAACTTTGTAACTCCAGCAATTAAACTTCAAATTAACATCAATTACTCATCAAAATCACTAATTTCTTATGGTGTAGTGAGGATTACACTTACCTCACTTGAAGTTTGGCCATTCTTCCTCTTTTCCTCCTTGGTTTCTTCCTCCTACTTTCCTCCAAAAGTTTCGATCAAGATGAAGAATTTTTCTCCTTCTTTACTTCGATCTTCTAACTCGATTTTAAGAATGTTTTAGGATGTTTCTAAACTAATTAAGGTGGTTTGAAGTGGTGGTTGGATGGTTTTCCGTAGCGTCCTTAACGTAATTCCTTATAAAACTTCATATAACTTAGCCAATTTAGTTCTAGAAAACTCAATTAATCACAAAATATCACTTAGGACCGTTAAAACCTCATATTAGAAAGATTATGAAATTTTTTTTTTAGGGCAGCAAGTTACACGGCCTCTAACACGGTCGTGTACTTGCCCGTGTAACTTAAAACTCATTTTCCCTTAAAAATAGAAAGTTAGACGGCCTTCCACACGATCGTGTACGAACCCGTGTACATTTTCGCCCAAAACAAGGGTTTTTCAGCCATAACACTTCAAAACCTAATCAACAATATTCTTTCTACTTATAACCCTTGGATATTCAATCAAAACCACTTTTTCTTTGTTCATAAACACGTCTCAAAACACCTCCAGGAGTTCATATTTACATAGTTACATATACAATTCAAAAATCTCCTAGGATATGCTCGGCATAATGAGAGAAAGGAGAGGGAGATCGCCAGTCGACTCGTCACTTATGACGTGAATTGAACAAAAAAAGATGACTTTAGCTTTAACTTTTTGCTTCTTAGTACCTAAAAAAAATAATTGCATTTTTAATGAGATGTTACTCAATGAGAGAACAATAATCCATTGAAACCATCATATGCAATCACGTCATCCAAGTATCATCACATATAAACAATACAAGTAGTTCATATGACTCTAAGATTACATGTTTTTCTTTTTCTTATCGGTTATAACTTAGACATGTCAAGTTTCGTCTCGGGTACTTGTAACTTGTAAACTTGTACACATGTATTGTCGGCCGCTTTTATAACTTGTAGTTGACCCGTTGGGTCCTTGTAAACTTGTATTTGCGAAACTTGGACAAGCTAGTCATAACCTTAACCTCTTAGTCTTGCATATATCATGAATGTTTCACATATAGCATATACAACATCCATAGCTTACATCATGGTACATATCCATTATAACATCAATAAACATAACGTTTGCGTCAACTAGCAAACAACACATCATTCACATCATAGTATCAATATCAATAAACATAATATTGTTATAACATCAATAAACACAACATTTGCGTCAACTAGCAAACGGCACATCATTCACATCATAGTATTAATATCAATAAATATAATATTAGCACTCAATAGCAATAACACATCATGGCACAACTATTATTATTCAACTCACAAAAAATGACGTCTTCGTCGTTTATCAATGCGTCGCGTCTCGCACCTCACGCTCCTTGGCGTCTATAAACAAATACACATATACTTTTATAAGTCATTTTATCATGATCAAACTTCTAAATATGCTCAAGGTACAAAATATGACTTTAGGGTTAACTTATTTCTTTATGAGTACTTGACCCCTTTTCACTCTTTCTACCATAAGTCCCAAAATACAGATTCAAATGATGCAATTCTAGTTTCAAATGAAACTAGACTCATAGGGCTCTAACATGTCCAAAAATCAAATCTAGTTACGAAATACACAACGCATGGTGATTTTCTAAAAATCAGAGTTGTTGTCATTTCTTTATGGGTACTTGACCCCTTCATAGTTCACACTCTTTGTACTATAAATCTTAAAATACGATGTAAAATGACAAAATTATAGTTTCACATGAAACTAGACTCAAAGGGATCTAACATATCCAAAAATCAGCCCAATATTCCATATACATGATTTATTCTAGATTTTTAAACTCTAACTAGCTTCCAAGCACCCTTGTTACCGAGCAGTCTCCAAACAAACAACAATAAATCTAGATTGTGACATGATCGAGACCTAATTATTTTTTAAAAAAGAACTAGACATATCAATATAAAACATATCCAAAAATCAGATCGAAATACTCAACACCCAAAGAATACCATATTTTTAAAGTTTGCACACTAATCTACCAAGATCGGATCACCCAAAACAACATGTGTTCAAACCATCATAAACCGAAATATAAATCACTAAATACAAAACCCTTTTCACAGAGAGCTAGATAAGACATAGACCAATAATTGTTATTCTTACAACTTGTTCCAGATCTGACCCTAAAGTCTCGAAATCAAGAGTGCAAAACAGAGGTGGGGATGAACTTACCTAGATTTCCAGCTTGATCATCCGAATTTGACAAAGAAATGGGGTTTTCCTCTCTTTCTCTCTCTCAAAACGGGAAACCAGATGGGATAAGAAGAGATAATGATCAGGTAATCTTGATAAGGTTGTGAAGATATTTTGGCAAAGTTCGTTTTGGTCCCTCAAGTTTTAGCTTGTTTTTATTCTAGTCCCCCAACTTAGATTACATTCAATTGAGCCCCTAATTCTTCCTATTATTCAAAATAATTATTATCCAATACCCCACTAACATATCATATGCAGGTATAATTATATGCGTGTAATTCCTAAGTATGCGTATATGCATAAACAAGTGTATGTTTTTGGGACGGCGTTATTACATTTTCTCTTTGTTTGGTATATCTTCTCTTTTAGGGTTACTTGAATGGTCTAGTTTTTGTAACCCTTTTTTCTTCTTCTTCATCTATATTTATAGCCAAGGTTTTTCTTTAGGATTAAGCCAAGTGTTTCACACTCCGATTAATCTTAAGATTGGTTATTAATGGTTTCTCTAGATCTTTCTTGATTTTTCTCTTTTTTCCCTAGATTTTTGCTTGATTTTTCTCTTATTTTTCTTCCCCACTTTACCACCTCTTTCCTTCCCTTTTTTAAAAATTTTCCAGAATTCTCTAGCTAAAACTTGTCCCTTAAAATCAATTTAATAGGTCCCTCAAAGTGTCAATTTTTTATACTTTAGTCCCTAAACTTTTAATCTTTGCAATCAAAACCTCTAATTTCGATCCGTAACTTCACAATTTTCATCAATTTGGCCCTCATCCTAGTTCTATTTCAAAGATAATTCAAGTCTCTAAAGTTTCTTAATCATTTCAATCAAGGATCTAAACTTTTAATATTTGTAATTTTGTCCATATGTCAAAGCATGACCATAACAATTTATGATGCCTATCTCTAATTCAATCTTTTCTCATTCCATTGATATTTCATTTTAATCATAAATTGTGTTTACTTTATTTTTAATTAAAGTTTAAATTTTATTCCATATATTTAATAAATATACTTTTTATTAATTAAATAAAATCTCCTTACAATACATTTATATTATTGGAGGGTTTTAGGTCACGAATATTACATCTTCCCCCTTCTTATTAAAATTTCATCCTCCTTAACTAAATAATTTAGGGTATTTCACTTTCATTTCTTCCTCTCATTCCCATGTCACTTCTTCCACGTTATGGTTTCTCCATAACACTTTCACAAAGTATTTGTTTATTTCAAATAATTTAGGGTTTATCAATTTTACAATACATTTATCTTTCTTTTTACGTAGTAGCAATTCTTGCTGGGGACAAAAAAAAAAAAAATGTTACAGTGAATGAACAGTCAAGAGTCCATATCTTTTAGTTTTTTTTTTTTTAATGATATAAACTTATCTCTTCCAATTTAAGATTCAAAAAATCTTGGCATAATTTCTTTGAGCATATCTCAAACATTAATTTTTTTCCCTCTTGAATAATTCTTAATTAACTAATTTTTATTTAGAAATCAGTCATTCAAAATATTCCAATGGCTAAAATAATGGGAAATTAACCATCATTAACTACAAAAATTCTTCATTGATTAGTGAAGAGTCATCAAATAAATAAATACTTGCAACAACAAGGAAGGCTTCTAGAAGACTTTTAGTAAGATTTTTTTATTATTATTATTCTGGATATAACATTGAAACTAATTTCTAAATAACTAACTTAGCACTTTTTGTACGGTTGAGTGATTTATTAATTCCTCTAAACTAATTTATTAATTTTCCTTTTAATGTTTATTGAAATCAATAAAGAATACCAAAGTCTTTTGCTTTTAAAACAGCCTAAAACATAAGTTCTCTTTTGACGTATTTTCTTTTATTATCTACAGTAGTCATATGATTGCTTTAAATATTTTAAACTTTTGATTTCATATCTAATAAATCTACCCATGAAATCATAAATACCTAACAAAATATGTTGTTGTTATTGACTATGTAGGAAAATATAATTAAATATGACAGTTTATATGATTTTGGCATTAACAAACTAGATTTTACTAAAAGAGCAGGCTCTGCTAAAACATCCGTTAACGCAACTCCGTTACTAAGGAAAAAGAAGACCTCGCAACGTTAGAACTTTTACTAGCTGACTTGCTAGTAGGAAACTGGGCCGGATCTACGAAGCCCACATTAAAACCCTAACATTAATCAGTTATTTCCCATTGTTTCTCATTTCCACTTCGAGCTGACAGCTTCTTGTTCTCCTCTTGGATCCCTACAGGTATTCTCCCTCTCCCTCTCTCTCTCTCTCTCATAGCCTATTAAATTACTATGTGTGCGAAAATGAAGGAGCAAAATGTAGAGCTAATGATTGATCATCTGCTTTAGGTTTTTTGATATACAAAAAAATCCATTACCAAAACTAACTGCAATAAACAATTTTCTAATTCTCACTCAATTTTTCCTATCAGATGGCATAATACTAGCTTAGAGCAGAATTTTATCCTGTGGATATGATAACAAGAAATATAGGATTTGTAGATAATTGTTGCTGTCCAAGTGGATTTTTGTGTTCTTTTTTCATTTTTCGGATTAAGGGTTCTTACTTTTGTGTTCAATTCAATTCCTGTACAGCAGGAATCGGCCAAGTTTTGATTTAGGATTCGAAGGTGAAGATTGAAAGAGAAGTGCAAAAGGATTTTTAAAAAATGGCAGCAGCTGGTGGAAGGGCAAGTAGAAGCTTGAAGAAAGCAGTGGTGAAGCGCCCAGCTTATGCATCACTGGGGAGTGTTGTTAATGCCCAAATCAAAGCCAAGCTGACACCTTCCTCTAAGTGTAACTTGGGTAAATTTCTCGGGATTCCTGAACCTCCTACCTCTGATACCTCCAAACTGATCTCCATGTTCATCAAGCTCAACAATCTTAAGGTCTGTTTCTATTGTCATTACCCGCTTTTAATATTTTTATAAATAGCAATAGTAATGTTGCGGGGGAAATATACTCTTTGATGGACTTGCATACATGTCTTACAAGTGTTTGACGAATGGTGGATGGATGGCTTGCAGAACCCTGGCAGCATGAAGAAGGATTCTCTTTCGGAGGAGAAGTTAAGGTCCATGTTGGAAGGCAAAGAGAGAGTTGGAATGGCAGAAATTGCCAAATTGCTTGCCCAGCAATATCCTAAACGTCGATGAAACTTCTCTGACCTTCACATTTTGTTCCTGCCCAAGCTTTCCAACCTCATACCCATTACTATGAAAATTTCTTCATTTCGTCATTTGGTAGAAACTTATTAGATGCAGAAATATTACAATCTTTTAAGACCTGCTAGCGTATGACACTTAATTAATGGTCTCGTGTTGTGACTTTTCACATTTTTCTACTGTGAATAAAGGTAGCGACATCAATAGTTTCTGCATATATATATATATATATGGACTTGTGGTTTCATACCTAATGTGCAATGTTGTGTGTGTTATCGATATAGTAATGGAAAAAGGAATCTGTCAACCGCACAATGCGAAGAAACATTTGTTGCCACAGGCTATTTTGTGCCAATCACATTTCTGGTGTTAACATGACTAGTCATCTTCCTTCTATGCATTAATTGCTCTCATACGGTTGAAGCACTACAAGATCATCTCTGACAAGATTAATTTTAGTTTGCATGGGAGGGGATCGATCAGGGACTAGGTGCATTTGTAGTCTGAACCCATATAGGAAACCTCCTTTAAAAATAATTGAATAGTAGTGATCCTCCTACGTATCAACTAAATGTAACCGTAACTGACTATTTGGATTCTGGTTTCAGAATGGACCTGCATTTTATGTTGTGTGCTGTTTCTTCTAGCTGTTTATGTTGACATTCTTGGCCCTGGCATGTTTATTGCATATATGCTTTGTGCTGTTACCAGATATGGGGTACATTTTTCCTATCTGGCTCTTGAGGAGCCTAGTCTTATCCATTTCTTCCTTATCACGGCATTTGGGATTGAGGCTTGCTTGTTGTCGTCCCTTATCATGGTGCATTGGGATTATTTTTTAGTTGTGTTGGTTGTCAAAATAGCAAATATATTTTTTAATCTGGCAAGGATCTGTTAGATTATTATCTGTAGGTGAGGCCTCTGGAGCAGTGGCTAGCTGCAAATGCTAACTCATGATGTCTTTGTTCTTTAGAGTGAGAGACTTGCATGTTTACTTATAGGAAATAAGTTAGCAAGCCCCAGACCAGAAGCTGTCCTAAGTATCAATATATATGGTGTCAGGCAGTTGCTATATGAAAAGAAAATGCATGATTCATACAAGCATTCTCAATGAACTCTCCATATTCAAGAGTAATGGGCACAGAAGTAGGGAATCTATTCAGTGGATGGATGCAAAGAGTTCCATTTCCTTCTGCCTTGGAAAGGTACATATTTTACACTTCTCTTCTATCTAAGTCAGTAAAATAAAGTCACGTTTGGATTTGAATTCTTTCTGCTCTTTTGCACTCCGTCAGTTCGTAAATTGTTTTTTTTTTTCCTTTGGCTTTCATGAGTGTTGAATAGACTTGTGGACATAACCAGTTGTCCCATGGTGTCTTGGATCGCAGGTGGTTTCAGAGAATTTCATGTGTGGTTGATGTGGTCAATATTAGTGTCCCATAGAGTGCCTTGTGCGAAATGTCATTGATTGATTTTGTTTTGCATTTCCCCATGCTTTTCCCCCAATTTTTCTTACAGTTAAGTTAGTGTAGTCATTTAACTAATTGGGTGAATGTGATATCGTGCCAGTTCGATTTGAAACTCTGTCTGGATTTGTTTGTACAAGAAGAACATAACAATACAATATAAGTTTCTGTGTGTGAATGACTATTTTTGCTTTTTATTTATGTTAAGCCCAATCTCCAAACGATGTAGATCGCGCTTAATGTAGTGGCATACATTACTTGGTGTTATTAACAATTCCATCATCTCCAGATTTATGGATTCAATTATAAAGTGACGTATATAATTTTCTTACCACTTGGTAGGAGTAGTAATTTTTTTATGCATGCAGTGAAATCAAAGCAAGCTTTACCTGAATACCTCACTGTCCCATTTTGCTGAAGTACACATACCTTCCATTTGTATTTCAATTAATAACGAACAATTCCTTCATAATATTTAGCCTTGAGATTTTTCAATTTCCTTGTCTTTTACAATGTGCAAATAATGAACGAAGACCTTCAGAGATGCATCCTTCCTATATACAAAAGCAAGTCCTTGGCTCCTCGCTGTGGAATGTACGTGTGTTATCACAGTAGTTAAATGGCAGCTCTAGTGCCTAAATGGTGGTTTCTCGACCAATTATGAGTTGAGCTTGTTGTAGGCTAGTAGCTCTACTATGGACGAAATGCATAATTGCAAGATAAGAGATGATTGCCGATGAACTTGTCTATTTCAGGCTTTCAGTTTCCTGTTGTCTGTCGAAGGAGAAGAAAGAGTGAACCAAAGTCAATGTGATGAAGATTTTGAAGTGCTTTACTCTTTTTGTGTTTGTCCAAGTCTCTGTATTTGGACCCATATATTGGGCCAGTATACTGTTTCTTTGGCAATACTGTTCGATTGACCGAGTCAATAAATTTTATAATATTTAAATAATAATTAGTGATATATATAGTAATTGTTCAATAAATTTATTTTTAAAAAAATAGACTTATAAAAAAAATTATATATAAATTCACTGAAAGCAATAAAAAGATTTTTATGTTGGTTTTTTAAATTTTATTTTTACTAATTTTTTTTGTGTTTATTTTTTATTTAAGATAAGCTTATGAAGTAATTATTATTATATATATATATATTATAAAATTTTTGAACGAAGCCATTCTTTTCGATGTCCATAAAAGTGGAAAGTAAAAATAAGGGAAAAAAATAAAAAAAGGACAGGCTTCACGTGCAGAGACTCCCCCGTACAGAACATTTTACAAAGTGAAAGAGTAAAGAAACAGGTTTTGAGTCACATCCATCCGGGGACAGACTCAAGAAAAAGGGCCCTTCAATTTGATGCAACCTTCTAAAGTTGCTCTTTGGAGGGTGGCCTACGATGCCTAGAGGCGCCTAACAAGAACGAGTAGTCAGTGGCTCAAATAGGCAAACAGGCTCACGCACCTCTAAGAGCTCCATTCAAGCCAGGGCAGCAGCATCTAGAGACATCTAGTCATGTAGGCATATCTCAGACAGCTAACCTACTTGGTAATTAAAAAAGTAGCTAACGTAGCTCCTACGTGTATAGCTTAAGGGATTGGAATGTGGAAACGTGCGTAGGCCTATAGGCTTTCTTCCGTTGTCCCTTTACGGGCAGGAGGAATATAGGTCACCCCTGAATTGCCTCTCTTTCTAATTTATAATTCCGGGGAATGCTTTAGTTTAATTTGTTAGGCATAATTAGTTAAAAATCACCGAAGTTTAACATAGTATTTTGAAATAAAAATGGGCTTAATGATTATAATCTTCAAAGTGTATATTCCTATAAGTACATCAATTTTTAATTTTTTTTTTTCAATTGAGAATATGAATATTCATTTTTTTATTTGAGAATTTTAATTTTTTTAAACTGTCAATTAAATATTTTTATCAATTTTTTTGTTAATTAATATTCGTCACTCTTATACTCATAATATCAAATTATAATTTTTTTAATCGAATACATGAATTTTTTTAAAATATATCAATTTTAAAAAAAATTGTTAAAATTGTTAATCAAGTACTTTCGTCATTTTTTAAAAAAATAATAAAAAAATGAAAATGATAAAGTACTTTCGTCATTTTTTAAAAAAAATAATAAAAAAATGAAAATGATAAAGAAAAGGAGAGAAAAATAAAAAGAAAATTTAGATGAGAGAGAGAGAGAGAGAGACAAAAGAAAGAGAAAAAAGAACAAAAGAAATATATAGAAAATATAATGTGAAAAATTAATGAAGTCTCTTATCTAATCGAGATTGATGTTAATCCAAATCGATCATATTTTAATAATTAAGTTGTTATCCGACATATCTATTATGTTAAGACTTAAAATTAGATCCAATATTGAATTGACAAGATGTCCGACGGAGGAGTCCGATGATCGGTTTAATATGAGGTCACAAAAAAAAAAAAAATTGACTTAGGAAATAAAACTTGAAATTTTGACTTAAGATCAATTTTGGTAAAAATAAAAATTTTTAAGGAAATAAATTTTAGAACTAAACTAAACATGGTACATTTCTTAGAAAATGATGCATTTAAATGATTGATATCTTCTCAAAGATATAAGCAATTACTTATCTTAGAATCTCTAAACCAAGTATCTATTTTAAGTTTTTAATTATTTTTAACAATATGTGGGGATTTCAAAATTAATAATAAATCATAAACAAGATTTTTAACAAATAAATAATCATAAAAATTTTCGTATGTCCTGCAAACGTGGATAACGACATCATGCATGAACACCAAAATCTTATAAGAAAATAAGATTGTTTCTTATGTTTCTTGTTTTAATTGATGATGTGACATACATAAAGTGACATCAATCTTTTTTCTTTTTTTTTTAATAATGTTTGATGTCTATACCATCATCTAACGGGTACATCATCAATTTTTTAACAAACATCCATGGAGACATTTAACGGTGACTTTATTAATAAATGAACAACTCAATTGACAAAAATTAAAATTGAGACACCAAATTATGAAAATAAAAAATTCAAAAACTTAATAGATTAAAAAAAAAATTTCTATACGTAAAACAACTAAATTAAAATAATAATATGGTTTCAAAACATGAATGAGATGGAGCAAAGTAAATTTATGCAATAATTTTGAGACAAATACATATTAAGTGTCTGATTATTTTTATTTTTTAACTTTCACAATTAGATGTTTTAGCTTTAATTTTTATCTATTGAATTATTTATTTGTTGATAACGACACAATCAAGTACCTCAATGGACATCTATATGAAATTTACTGACATGTCATTTAGATTATGCATGAACACCAAAATCTTATAAGAAAATAAGATTTATGCTTCTCGTCTTCATTAATGATGTGCTATACATAAAGTGACATTAATCTTTTTTTTTTTTAATAATGCTTATATCTATATCATCATTTATCAGATACATCATTAGATTTTTTATTTTTTTATAATGTTTGATGTCTTTATCTTTTAACAGATACATCATTAAATTTTCGACAAGCATTCATCGAGACATTTAATGGTATAAATGAACAACTCAATTGATAAGAATTAAAATTGATACAGCAAATTATAAAAATAAAAAAATTCAATCACTTAATAAATCATTATCTCGGAATTTTTTCAACCAACTTGTAGATAGTGAGTAAAGAGACAACAGAAGCTCATGAAATGCGTCCATGTAATGGGTTGACTGTTGAGTTCTTGGACGTATACAGTATGACAATTTATGTACTTAGTTCAATTTTAGGGAGATAATTTCAGAATCTCACCAACGTGTTTGAGAGCAACGGAGAGGACATGCAGGAATAGAAGAGGGAGTGAATTACAGTGACAAAAACAGCAGCGTACTCGCAACCATTAGCCCAAGTAGATTCAACAATACATTGAAAGAGTCGAATTCAACAATGGATCAGCTGGTAGCCGAGTATCCAGCAGGCTAGAGGTGGACACGACTTGACAAGTCCACTACCTCCAAAAAGAATCACCTTAGCTCTGCCCTGAGGTCTTCTCCATTGAAACTCACCTTTTCCTCCTCTCACCTTTGCACGTCTCTGTTCGTAGTTTTACTTTGTTTATTAGTATCTTTGGTTTAAAGGCAAAACCAGTAATTTAATTTTTTTTATATAGTTTTTTTCGATGTATTTTCATTTCATATTAGAAATGAGACTAATTTTATTTGAAACGTAAATGATAAGCTTTAACATCCTATAACAAATGTAATTTTAGGATTCAAATTCTATATATTCACACAAAATTCCTCATGAAACTAACTCATTTATTACTATATCAATAACTTATTGATAGTAATTTTTTGTTGTTGGTGGTTTAAAGAAGCAACTTTAATGAGACCGGATCTAATAATGTTTTTTAGAATTTTTCCATGATACTCGTAACATTTGATTCTTCAAGTTAGATTTGGACCTCGATGTTGGACTACATCTATGATCTAATGCAC